GCCTCAGCGCCAAGCCAAGGAGCTTTACTGTCCATGGCATAGATTCAAGACTGAGTGACACATGTCACAGGAAGGTATATGGGCCTAGCAACATATTTGTCGGAGAATTCTGTGTGCTGGCAGGACTTGTTGTACCCAGTGATTAAAGTGAGATAGCTGGTGATGAAGTATAAGGTGCAGGGGCTCTCTTGAGTGTTGAGGAGCCGGTATGTCTCCAACTCTGTACCTCTAGCAAGTCCTCCGGAAGTGATGTGGACAAGGCAGAATACAATGTCATGGAGCTCAGCAAGCTATGTGAACTAGCAGGTGACTGCAGCTGTGAGGCATTAGCAGATATATGTAAGGCAGGTGAATGTCAGTATCACCTTGTTTGAAAACTGAGCTCCCTCCCACACATGGTACTTGTTGAATACATTGAGATCTTGGAACATACCCTTGAGGAGGCCTTCCTGCAGGGCTTTGAATGGGTTATCCAGATCTTGGATGAAGAAGTAGCTGTCGTTCTGCTTGCGAAGAGGGTCCTTTGGCTAATAGGTGGGGTTCTGAATGTTCAAGTGATGCTTGAGGCAGACATCATAGTCAGACATGTTGATGCTTTCACACAGCGACACTATGATTTTGTTAGCTCGAATCAACAGTGACTTCACCTGATGGCTGATATGATTAGTGGGGAACTGTCCACTTGGAGTATAGTGTGAGTGTCATTCTAGAGTAGGTTGGGGAGTCTGGTCTCTAAATGAGCCATGGCTGACAGGAAGTGCATCTCCTCGTGGAGTGTGGTGAAAGGATAGCGCTTTCCTCCAGTAAGCACATCTTTTAGAATCAAGTCATAAAATCTGACAGTAATTTAGTGACATAGATTTAATTAAAATGGTAAAACTCATGACAGTAATCCTTCACTGGATTCATTCAATCCACTGTTATAGGCTTCCAAGATGCCTGAAGTATGCATACAGAACTGCAGGCATGACAGGTTAGAAACAATGTTGGAGGCCAGCTCAAAAGTGCTGTCAAGCAACAAGTGAGATAAAATGACATAACAGATCAGTGAGCAGCTGAACTGATCATTGGTAATGTGCTCATTTGATATTGTCAGAAAGACAAATAAGACTTTTTGAATGCAGTCTGAGATGCTGCCACCCTCGCTGCCTTTCAAGATGCTGAGGAGTCTGATAAGGCTCTCAGATTGCTCTTCAGTGATGAGGAGCTCGAATGAGAATGTTTGGGGTTTATCAATGAACTGCAGAGACATTATCAAAAAGTGTCTCAAAAGGCACACGCACTTTCGACATATGTGTCATAAGGAGCATTCACAATTTGACTACAAGAGTGTCAGTTGAGTTCTGATGAAAGTTAATTAAAATAAACCTACCCTTTTGAAGTGTTGATCAATTGTAGGAAGATGAGATCAAGGTTGGGCAGCATAATGCAAATGTCATTGAGCTAATTATGGATGGCAGTGTGTAATAATTGAAGATGTTCCTCTTTGTTAGCAGGGCTTGAAATAACCTGGAGACCCTTAATGACCTTGTTCCATCCCATCTTGACAAGGAATGTCTCATGCTTGCAAGTATCTTGGTCAACATGATAGATATCCAGATCAACTTAGGGGGCTTTCTTCCTGATCTCATCCTGGTAGTCAGCAAATACATGTTGCTACGGGGGCATGATCTGGTTCAGGTCTATGAGGATAAGTGTTTGATTGCCATGGAACTTATACATGTGCTAAATATCTCATTCCTTGGTGTTTAGGTGCCATTGGTCATTGGGGTAGGTAATCTTAAAGTATTCCTGCATGATCTAGAGGGAGGCTGACAGGTAGCTGCAGCCCTCTATCAAGCAGACTAAACTGTCAAGAACCTTGAGGCCAACTATGGAAGGAACAACACCAGAAGGTGGAGTGAAGTCATTGATACATCCAAATAACTTGAGGATATGAGTCATGTCTGACTCCAGGAGGGAGGGGTTGGGATTAGGATTGAAGCAGTGGTGAGAGACAGTGTGGCTGCAGATGTGTTTGGCATGAATGGCGATAGCATAATCAATCCAAATGGTGATTTTGTACGTAGCATCAATGATGATACTAATACCATGGAGAACAGCCAAATCTTCCAGCAAAGGGGCAAGCTCTGGACCAAAGGCCTAGTGATCCTGAGGTGGTATTATAAGGGACATATTTGTAAACTATCATGATATAACATACCTCCATGACATTTAGCAAAGGGGTCAGGCTCTCAAAGGTCAACACTTTCTTTTTTCTTGCAGTGTTGTTGAGGGGAGGGAGGGCAGTCTACAGTAGATTCCTGTGTCTCCTGAAACTTGATAGGATGAAGCCCAGATGCAAATGAATTTTAAGGTGACTTATTTAACAAGTGTTTGCTGATGTATCTAAGCATTGGAACGCCTCAGGAACATGTTACTGGCTACATTTTTTATTGATGTGTGCCAAGTCTGATAAGGTAGAATTTCTTTGAACAGAAGAGGAGACCTCACTCTCCAAATGTCATTTGTGATGTGTCCTCATTGCAAATGAGTCAATCATGGTGTGGTCGCATAATGGACAGTGAAAACACATATCACTTGCATAGACCAGATTTGAACCATCAACTGATAAAGAAAGTCATCTAACACATCAATGAAGAGGGCAGTATGCACTAACCGAGCATTGTGACAGATACATGTGTCTCCCATACATGTTTTTCAAGTAAGAACTTCTTCCTTGCGTTATGGTTGCAAAATGCAAATTAACAGCAAGGCCTAGTGTGGAATACAGTTAGCTCTGGCAAATAGATAACTTTGTAACACCAACATTACAAGGGAAATCAGGGAAATCAGTGAGTGATGATGGTTTCTGCTCTATTATACCACAGAGATGGCTCTGGGTATCGATTACTAATATATTTTGACATCACAAACACTTTAATGGATGTATTGTGGTACTGTTATGTTTTAATGTGATTATAGATAAGATGACTCAGAAGGGACTTGTGAGAAGAAACTATCGTAGAAGTGCATCCCCAGGTATGTAGGAACATACAGTGGCTCAAAAAAGTGTCCGAATGTTTATGCATTTTCAAGTAATTGGGCAATGGCAAGCCAGGACTCAATGATAACAAATTAATATAGGGACACTTCTGGAGGCCCTATATCCTGGCTCAAATTTGAGATATTTATAGTGAGAATCCAACCATATATGGGCAGGATATGGTAATTTCAAATACATGAACTCATTCGGACACTTTTTTGACTTTTCATTAAAATTACAAAATCAGACCATTCATACATTATATTCTTGATTAAAGTAGTGTCATAATACTGATATGGTCTGATTTTAATATCATTTGAATATATAAACCCACATAAGATTATGACATTCAACATAATTATCATGAAACCCATCTCCTCTGCTCAAAAGGATAATATCCTTGTTTTCTATACCTCTGGTTTATTTACTAGGCAAATTGCCTCCAAAACTGGTCTTGGCAAGTCCACTATTGCTACAGTCATAAAGGAACACATGCTAGAGAAGGAAAATCATAAAATGGGATGTCCCCCCAAGCTTACTCCACAGAACAAAAGAGCTATTGTTCACCAAATTCTATCTGGCAAGGCTTCAAATGCTACTCAAGCTACCAAGTTCATCAATTCCATCATCTCCACTCCTGTCTCAACCCAAACTGTTAGAAACACCCTCAAGGCAGCCAATCTCAAGGCTGTAACCAAGAAGAAAAAACCTCTTCTCTCTGTAGCTCATAGAAAGAGAAGGCTAGCCTTTGCTTTAAAGCACCAACATTAGACTGTGGAAGACTGGAAGAAAATTATTTGGTCAGATGAAACAAAAATCAATAGAATGGGGTCAGATGGCCAGGAATATGTGTGGAAAAAGGCAGGAGAACCATTAGGAGAAAGAGAAGTCAAGAGTACACTGAAGTTTGGAGGAGGAAACATAATGGTATGGGGTTGTATGGGATGGAGTGGTGTGAGAATTCTTTGTGAGATAGAAGGAAGGATGAATGCAGAGCGGTACATTTCCATTCTAGAGGAGTGTCTACTCAAAACCATGCAGGAGTCAGGGATTGATGAAGAAGACATCATCTTTCAACAAGATAATGACCCCAAGCACATCTCAAAACTGGCTACAAAATGGTTTGAAGACCATGATATCAATGTTCTATCATGGCCAGCACAGTCTCCAGATCTGAATCTCATTGAACATCTCTGGGAATCACCTCAACCTCACATGATCCCTACCTAATTAGGTTGTCATATACCCCTGGGAGTGGCAACCTAATTAGGTACGACTGCACCAAATACGCACACTGCCAGTAAATAGCTGAATAATGTTCAATATCTATACTTTGGCAAAACACCAGTGTGTCAGACTGTTTGGTGGGGTTCGGGCGTATGCAACCATTCCCAATTTAGAAGCTTACTCGCTGTTCATACTTCGGGAACATCCGCACGTCTCATGCTCACCGTCGTCGACGACGAGAAACCCAATATCTATGCCAGCAACACGCAACAAATGAAAGGGAGTCTCCCGCCAAGTCCATGTTGTCAGTGTCACCAGTGATGGGAAGCAACGTAGTACCACACTTGGACTACAGGCAGTAGGACACGAACGTCTCACTGGGCAGGCACACTACCGCCTCAATATTTCAGGTAGGTACTGTGCAATCTTCATTACTTATTATTCATTCTGTAGGTCTCGGTAGTGATTCACTCAATGTTCTCGGAGAGATACGATCTGACGTGGACTCGGAGGACATGACCCTCGCATATGATGGACAAGACGATGAACCAGCAGGGGAGTGGGAGACTGAGCCTTCAGACACCAGTGAAACGATTACCACTGCCATCCGCGATTATGTGGAGACACCATCAGTATTCCTTCTCTCACAAATCAACTTTCATTGATTTTTAGCATTAGGTGGAACCAGCGCGTCTACAAAGACAATCAAACATGGCGACAGCGTTTAGACCACTTGCATGCCAACTGGATGCCCCTCCTGGCGACACTCACAGATACTTATCTATGCTGGAAGGCAACATGCTCCGATCAGCCCCAGCCTGTACCTGCCAGCAATTGCCCTTCCATTCCCTCCGATTCCTACAGCTTTACCATCGCTATCGTTGATATCTTCACGCTACAAACAAGCACTTTCATTCATCGTGATGCGAAGAGTCTGTCTCCTGCAATTGACCTTGTCCGTGCTGGCTTTCTCAGTCATGTACCGGTGTCACCCTCAGTAGCTATCTCACTTCGTACTCTGGAGCATTTTCGTCACCTCCGTCTCCGCAAACCTTCATTTAGCGTCGAGGCATATGTCAAGGTGATTTGCGATTCATACAAGGTACTACTCTTGTCTACTCTGAGTTTTGCATCACTAACTGGCATTAGGTACCCTATAAACGTCACTGGCGTACTGTACTAGCCGATGCTTTTGATACTTACTTGGCCATACTTCAGCAGGTTGAGCAGAGAGTCAACGCTGCTCTCGGTCGCAGTACTCCCAACTGGCGCATACTCAACTCATGCCCTCCCTGCACCTATGAGTTGGAGGATGAGCCCTCATTACCATTCTCTCGCATGTATGTCCTCGATGGTGGCAACTCAGCCAAACGCATGGCAGGACTAGGACGACGCGAGCGAGGAGACACGCGGACATACACCGAGAGCGACTACATCATACCATGTGACTTTGTTGATAGCTTCGCCAATGAAGTTCGACCACGCGCTTCAGACTCAGATGATGCAGACCCAGTTGTGGGTGTTTTCAATACCACAGGAGAAGAGGACACACACCCTGAAGTCAACACGGACGATCTCACAATGCAGGTCATGTCATCTGACTGTAGTAAAAACTGGAAAGCAGCTGCCAATGAAGAGAAGAAACATATGTGGTCTGTCTTTGACGAAACGGGGATTTTTGTTTCCGCTTATCGTCATGGTCTTTTGTTATGGGTGACAGACATGGTCCGCAGTGGTGAACTGTAAGATCTCTTGTCTCTACAATGTATTTCATATCTAACGACTTGACAGTGCGAAATATCCTCTCGCGATCATGTCTAACGTCATTGATGTTCTTGGCGAACACGCTCTGGGAGCATATGATATAGGCTGCGGATTTCAATCTACCATCCGTGCAAGCAGGCTGGGTGATGCATTCGAGAGGCAAAAGTGCTGCATGTGTGTTGACGCCTTTCACGGCTACAGACACAACTACCTGTGTCAAACGAAGAACCATCCAAACGGGATTGTTGGTGCGGGTCTTGAAGACTTTGGAACTATTGAACATTTTTTCAGCGCATTGAATGCTATTGCCCCTGTCATCCGATATGCCAGTTCATACCGCCGTCATGTCTTTTTGGACCTCTTTTTCAAGCAATGGGACGAGGATAAGTACTTGAATCTTGGTACTATGATATACAATAACTACAAGCAAGTGCTCGACATTGTCTCGACGGAGTCGATTGCTCTTGATGAAGCAAAGCAATCACTCGGCATTCAGGAGGGTGATCTGCAGACTTGGCGTCAGGAGGAAATTGAGTATTTCGCACATCTGGGTAAAGAGACTGAGTGGGATGTCCACGCGATGGCATATGTGGAACTCCTACTGAAGCTGAGAGATGCAGAGTTCTTATTTCTTTTTTTCGCATTTAACCAAGTAACTAACTATCATCTTAGATCTCAGGTGCAGTCCGCATCTACACGTTTTCTATCTACGACTCCAAAGGATTATCAGTTCATCTCTTTTACGGGCACACAGTCCTATTCCGATGACATGATGGCCACGAGAAAACTTGAGACACAATGTCGGTACAGCGCTGAGCGTCTCGCTACAATACAGCAAGAAGTCACTTCCATGGAAGTGAAGATGGGTATCGCTAATCGATGGCAGCCTTCGTCACCTGAGTATCAAGCAACGCTGAAGTATATGTCGAATCATCAGTATCAACATGTGTTGGACAATCTTCAGCGCTTAGTAGTCCAACGGCTCTTCGAGCTTCAGCGGCTGAATATCTCACAGACTGGTGCGTGTCCTTCTGCTAATTGTTTATTTTGTAATCACTGATTGATATTATCAGCTTATAAAATGCGCACCCACATATCTAAATCCCTTCAAACTCAATGTCATGCTATTCAAAACACCGTCAAGACATATAATACAGCAGCTGCAGCACTATCACCCCCTCGCCCCCAGCTTGATTGGTCCAAGGTATCCCATTACAGCTTTCTTGAGGAGTTCAACCTCCTGCGAGATACACGACAAGACGTTCGCGAAAAAATGTGGGCCAAACCTGCTATCCGTGCAGTGATCCGACAATGGCTACGGATTAACCATGCGAAGGAGGAAATAGACCGATGCAACGTGGAGATCCGCCGTTTGCACACTGCCATCATAGATGAAGACACTTTCTTTACCCAATGTCTCGCTTCACTCGCAGCTGAACAAGCTATTGAACATGTCGCAGTGTATGAATACTGCTCACACCACCGTCTAATCAACATGCAAGTCCTTCACCGCATTTCAAAGATCCACTTGCTTCCAGGATTCTCCGGCTCGATTTCAGCAGGCATCAGGAAAGGATCTAGAGGGTGTACTACAGAGGATATTGCTTTGTCTAGCAGTAACAAAGTTGAGTATGACGACGACAGTGCACCCGCTGTTGATGAAGTCGAGGAATTGACACAGGACATTGGTACCTTGATAGAATATCTCTCTGACTTGATGCTTCATCGTTGAACTAGTGTAACGTGTAGTTTTCATTAACATTCGCCTACATAAATACTATGATTGCTTGAATTTTCTATTTTCTTTGAGTGAAGAGCCCTTCAAATGAATCACTAAGTAAGCACTGTAAGGCGCTCTACCCAGTACTTGCGAGAACTCATTAAGTTGCAAAAGTAAGAGACTGACGATGTTGAAGAAGGTGGAAGTAGAAACACAATGTTTTTGATGTGATCAGACGATCGGTGATAGCGCTGATTTTGAAATCAGCGCTATCACCGATCGTCTGATCACATCAAAAACATTGTGTTTCTACTTCCACCTTCTTCAACATCGTCAGTCTCTTACTTTTGCAACTTAATGAGTTCTCGCAAGTACTGGGTAGTATTTGGGGGTATATCTCCAGGAATATATGACAAACAGTGAGTGATTTCATGAAGTTATCAATTCACGCTGATCAACTCCTCCAGACCTTTCACTGCCTACAGTGGATCCGACACTCACTACTTTCCCTTGGTAATTCACTGTCAGACCAACACTCAAGCAGAAAAACTGTTTTCTCTTCACGATCTCGTATGTTCCGTGCCAACAGAAGATGCTATAGTTGTCGCACGCGCATTTATGGACTCTGATGCTGCACAAGGTGTGCTTCAGAAGGAACGTCGGGAGGGCACACTTCAGGGCTTCTATGGAGTATTGAGGGAACACGAGATTTGTATCTACACAAAGTGGTGCATCCAATTATCTATCAAAATAATGATAGATTGCATCTGCTTCTAGGAAAGATTGCCACCAACTGGTGTCTGGATATTGCAGTCCGATGTACAAGAAATTCGAAACTTTTGCGGACGCTGTCGCTTGGATGATCATGAAAGGAAAGTGTATTGATGGCAGACCCATTGGCGGCAAGATAGGTCTCATGAAAGAGAAGGTTGTAGAGTCACCTGTTGTCGAGGGTATGATCTATGTCTTGTCAGCTCTTGATGTCTATCTGATGGTCATTTACAGTATCAAATCTCTCCCTCGACCCTCCAAAGAGGCTTCTTTCAACTGTCAGTTCGATCTTGGGTGAATCTTCCGCCCCTCGTAAGTTTTTCCATGGATTTCTACTCTACCACTTATCAGTCAGTCAAATAGCGCTCGCTTTTAATACCAGCACGCCTCAATGACCACGTGCTTGGAGGACCCTGGCAGACAATCGCCCATCTCTCGCTACATCCTCGAATGCACCAGTGCGGGTGTACCAGTACATGCGGGAATTGAGCGGTATTCAATCAACACTCTATAGCCCACCTCCTGCTGACGATACACCCCTCCGATCTTTTGGCGATATACCTGATAGCTATCTTGAGGCCCATGGTTATTCTTCTCGTGCCCTCCTCTGCATTCAGCATGCCCTGGATGTTAGTATGTCTGGGCAACAGTTTGTCAATAATCTGTCAAGTAGAGGCCTTCCTGTTGCAGAGGCTCGGTGGTTGTGGCTTATCGTCACTGGAGACAACGAATCCTAACTCATGTACATTGTTTTTTCCCCTATGATTTCCATGTTCCCGACATATGTTTGTCTCTAAAAGTCGCATGTGCTGCATGACGCTAACATCCGTAAGACTAGCCGAAAAAACTAGCCGACCATTCTTACTAGAAACCTCATCGCCCTTGATAATGGTGAAACAAACGAGCTCGAGCAAAGTCAGCCATTATGCCCCCAAAATGCAGGCACTTACAACCAATAAACCTCGAGTACCTTGGCGTCGCCGTGAAAAACGACGATACAAGCGCAGCGCAGCCGAAAAAGCAGTACTGAAGGAGAAGAGGCAAGCTCATTGCATTTCATACTCAAGCGCCCTCCAAGCTGCTCGCAATGTTGTCTTTCATGAAGCAGAGAAATTGCATGCTCAATTTAGTGGGCATAGTGTCCAGTACTACTATGAGGAGATAATGCAGCACTCATGCATTGCCCAGTCGTCTCGTGGCATCAATCGATGGAACACATTTTGTCGACAAGAAGTCAAACGGATCAATGATGGTATGGGCAACTGCTACATTGGAAGTTCCACTCACTGATACATAGTTTTTTCCATAGAACGAGCACCCAGCATTGCACCCTTGAAAGCAGCACAATGTGCTCATAGAATTGCTGAGCGGTGGAATTCCATGTCAAAAAGTGAGCAGGAGGATGCCACTCAAGCCGCTGTCAAGGATTTGGAAGATCATCGTGAAATGAAGAAGCTTGCCATTCGAAATGTCCCCCTGGAAGCCTTCCATGATTGTCAAAGGTCAGTGCAGGCCATTGACCGCGAGGTACATATTTTGTTTCTGTCGCTTATCCAGTGATATATCCCCTCTGATGCACAAAATTCTATTGACAGGCTCGCGCTCTGAATGCCCGCACTGGAGTTGAGATTATTTTCATCGCAACACGCTCTACTACTGACCACTTCAACCAACCACACATATTTCAAACCTCGCACGCCACGGACTTTTTTGATGCGTGTTTCAAAGTTAGCGCAGTGGACGTTGCTTTAAGACTAGAGGCATTTTCCATTGCTGGCATTCAAGGTAAGGCTTATGGGCCTCGTCTATTGCAGTGCAACTAACGAGCAATACATGCTGCACAGGTGTGGCTAAAACCTACTTACAAGAGACTCTCAACCTCAAGAAAGCTACCGGGGAGCTAATTTTCAAGAAACTTTGTACATGTTTTTTGCTGCTCTCTTGATGTATTCGTCTCAATTTTGAGAAGAACTTGCTGCCGCCCCTGAGAGAGTTTCTCGCATGTATTATCATAACTTCGACCACCACATCACTGCGAAGTATCACATCATTGTTGAAAACTGGCCGCTCTCCAAATTCTGCTGCCCTGGGGACATCAATTCGCGGACTGAAATATCTGTCCTAAAGTCTGCATGGGATTCCGGTGCCACTAGGTTTCACAAGCTAAGTGATACCGAGTTTGAGAAGTGGGAAGAGGAATACTTTCAGGCTGCACTGCACAACAGGAATGAAAATGAGGGAGAGGACAGAGGGCTCCAGAACACGATACCGACCGCAAGCACTCAGTCTTCTGTCCCTTCAAATGACGATGATTCACCTTCGACATCCTCCTTGACTCCAGACAGTCAATCTCAGGTGGCACCCTCTCACCAGCGTACAGTGCCAATTGCGGCCATCAATGTTATAACCGCAGCAAATGGCAATGCTATGCACGTGCCAAAGAAGGCCCGGAAGGAACGATCAGACAAGGGTGTCAAGCGTGGACCTCGGAAGAGGATGAATGCCCCAGCCAATGACACTGGTAACAACGAGCCCCAACTCAACAACACCATCTAGTGCTGCACTGGAGACATCCATCTCCCAATGCCTCTGCCAACACCCCACTCCACCCTCACATTGTCTCCGTCCTCTAGATATATACTATACCTAGTTCCTTGCTTTTTGTATAGCCATTATATATACAAGCAATGAATGATTTTATTGTGTTTTTTAGAAAAAGAACTAGCTATTTTAGACGTGATTTAAGCCTAGAAGCGAGCTTGTCATCGACGACAGTGAGCACGAGACGTGCGGACGTTCCCGAAGTATGAACAGTGCATAAGCTTCTAAATTGGGAATGGTTGCGTATGCCCGAGCCCCGCCAAACAGTCTGACACACTGGTGTTTTGCCAAAGTATAGATATTGAACATTATTCAGCTATTTACTGGCAGTGTGCGTATTTGGTGCAGTCGTACCTAATTAGGTTGCCACTCCCGGGGGTATATGACAACCTAATTAGGTAGGGATCATGTGAGGTTGAGGTGCTGGGAATTACTCAAAAGACTACTTGCTGCCTATTAAGATCCTCCAAATGGGCTATTTGAACTATGAGAGAGAGTTGCAGCAGAGTGGGAAAAGATTGCTAAAGAGGAGTGTCAGAAAGTATGCCTAGGAGGATTGCAGCAGTTATTAAAGCCAAAGGGGGTAACACCAAGTACTAGAATTGTAGAATAGTCTTGGTTAAATATAAAGTCAAAAAAGTGTCCTAATGAGTCATGTCTTTGAAATTACCATATATGGTTGGATTCTCACGATGAATATCTCAAATTTGAGCCAGGATATAGGGCTTCTAGAAGTGTCCCTATATCATCTTGTTGTCATTGAGTCCTGGCTTTCCATTACCCAATTACTTGAAAATGCATAAACATTCAGACATTTTTTGAGCCACTGTACTGCTACGCTATGACTCTGCTTTGAATACTTAGATGCCAAAATTTTCAATGACGAACCTCACGTGATTGTATCAACTTGGTCAACAATCAATGGTAGTACTATGAGGTGCAGGAATATACAGAGGCTATTGAGGAGTATCAGAGTTTGGAGAAGAGGGTTGCTCGTGAGTGTTTCACCTCATCTCATTTCAAAAAATCGTGTCTCGCTTACAAGTCATTTTTCATTTTCAAACCAAACCTGTGTTATGGCAAACACAAATGCTGATCACACCTGTAGTATCTCTCAACCTCTGTGCAAACACTCATCATCACCTCTGGTCTTCTGGTTGGTTCCTTGAACACCTCCCACCCACTTGTGTGAGCTCCCTGGTACTCGCGTGTCCATCTCTATCACAATATTCATGGTTAAATGTTAAACTTATTTAACCAAGTTGAATCGATTCACAGCTGTCTAACTGATGTTTCCCTCGTGTGAGCATGACCTTTGTGCCTCCATCACTCACATTTGTCTTTGCCTCCTACCGAACCATTTTCTTCGCTCATTCGAGCACATTTTGTCGAGTCTCATGTGTATGACACTTTATACTGTCATGTCTTGTACCTTTGTTTCTCGGTTTCACAATCAAATTTCACTTACTAGCATTCAACTATTACTATTTTATACTCGGAGCAGTTCAAATTCAATGCATTTCTAGAATTCTTCATATCAAGTGTAACTCGAGTAGACAATTTAAGAATTTACTGATATTACCGCCCACCACAACCAGCAGGCGTGCAGTGTTTGAATTCCACCTGGAGCTAGCCCCAGAGTCTGAGGGTTCAACATTGTCACATGACCCATCACGGGGCAGTTGAGCTAAGTCATCACAAAGTTGTCTCAGATCAAGCAATTAATGTCAATTACTGTAACTAAACAAAAATTACTTTATTTTTTGTACATAAGAGCAGGAGTCAACAAGATAATACACGACAAACTACAGGTAGTCCTACAAAATAAGACCGCAAATACTCAAAACTTCCCCCTTCTATATTGACATTAAGTCCTGACATACCAGTAGAAATAATAAACTTACTTGTGTTGACGTGAACGGCCTACTGCTTGAGCTTCGCACACACGTTTAAGAGTTAGTGCAGGTGGCAAACTATCCTTGACATTATGTCCAATTGAGTGTTCAACCATATTGCGTGTGGATGAGCCCCTTCAGTGACATAACCCTCTAAACATGGCCAGCCCACCTTGACATTTCTTCCGAGTGACATGGGTCAGCCCACCATGGGCCCACTTTATCAATGTAGGTCATGTCTGAGTGTAGGCCAGTGGGTGCTATGTATTGAATGATTAGGGGTGGGCCCAAGGCCTACATTCTTCAAGACACTAAGGTGGGCCCATGGAGTACAAGGTGGGCCTATATTATACTGGCCAGATTTTTCCTCAAGGATTTCCAGTGGACCCATGAGTTTCCGGATTATCATTGCTGAAGATAGTCCTGCAATTTACAGCAGCAAAAGAAAGAACATGTATCGGTGAATGCAAATTTCATTTGTAACCGCCAGAATCACATTGATCCTGACCGGAAAAAAATGAGACTGCCAACCCAATATCTATCCGGAAATAGCATGTGTCAGCAAATGCAAATTTCAGTTGGAATCACCAGAAGTCCAGACTGCTGAATGCATGTAGGTTCACCAAAATAATAATAATCCTACCCGGCAAAACCAATTGCATTGCCGAGTGGCAAAATAATATTAATTGCGGTTGGCGGAATTCATGTGTTGGTCAGCGAGTCTCAATGGTAGGAGCAAATTGGAGCTGGGTTATGCATGTGGGCCGATATGATGATTTACAGGGGCATGGGCCTGCCCGTGGTATCCATGTTGGAGGAAAGGACCCATGCCCTTGTTACTTTCAGAATCAGCAGGCCCAGGCAATGTAAGCTCAATGACTGGGATGGGCCTACTCCTCGTAAGGTGTACATACAAGTGGGCCCAGGCCAGTACTACATACTGCATATACAGACGGGCCGTCACAACATCCTTATGTCCAAAGGCGGGCTCACCAGCTGTCTAATATGGACATGGGCCTAACCACAGTACCCCAGACATGCAGGCGGGCCTGCGGGGCAACTATCATGGCAAGGGCCAGGCCCAGCATATGCTTGTCAGTTTGTGCATGGGCCCACATAATGTCCATTAATGGGCGTGGGCCCACCATGAAGCGGCCCTAAGCATTAGCGGGCATGGGCGTGGGCCCACCATGAAGCAGCCCTAAGCATTAGCGGGCCCACACCCCTTTGATGAGTACATTGGGCTCGTGTCAGGTACACAGCATACAAGGGCAGGCCCATGTAGCTGCCCAATTTAAACTAGCGGAATGATGTGTGGCATTGTTCATTGTATTGCTGGGAATATGTCCCGATACCATGCTCAACTATGCCTGGAGGATCCATCTTCATAGGTTATTACATTGTCAGGCTGCATCCTCATGGTCATATGTTGGTCTACCCAGCGAAGCAGCATTATATCGGTGATACATCTAAAGTACCTGGAACATGTGGAACAAATTTAATTAGCTAGCCTAGATATGTTTATGTAGGTACTGAAGGAACAAAAATATATTGTACATGGAATTCAGCCAGTGAGTGACCAATGAACCTGCCAGCACCAAGTTGGGAAATACACTTGTTGTCATCCTCCTTAATTTGCTGTAATAATTCATCGCCGAGGTCCCGCACTCCAGGTTGTCCAGCAAGAAGTCATCCAAGACATTAAATATGAAAGCTGTTTTTGGTTCTAAAAATGAGGCTGGAAACAGACCCATTTGAAAGAGCTGGATATCAGCGGGCACAGAAAAAATCTCACTCCCCAAGATCATCATCCCATGGGCATGCATTTCCTTCATGTCCAAGCCATATCACCATCCTAGTCTTGACCAAGCAACTTTCCTCAAAGAAGGAGCCTGTCCATTGGCTGACCCAATGAAAGGGATGCCTTTGGTGCTGGGTTCCGCAACAATTTGTGCAATACAGAGGCTCACCAAAGCACCCATGGCATTTATAGACACCATCTGTCCTACACATGATACATGACCTATCTGATGGAACCTCCCTTTCAAGGAGTATGTCAAGATATGTTTGGGTCTTTTGTTGGAATAGAGAATGGACATACATACTTGCAGTAAGCGTCAGCATGTTCCAGCATCACACTTACAATAGTTACACGCTCGTTAAAGTTATTCCTCAGTTGTTCTTTCATCTCAACTGAGGTATGTTTACATATTCATTATATCTATCTAGTTGCTAACTGTACTTAGTTCTGGCTTTCGCCATTAGGTACAGTGTCTAGTAATAAAGTCATTCTTTCATCTTAACTGAGTTCTGGCTTTCGCCATTATCTTTGGGACCCATTGATGTATATAGTCATTTTGACTCTGAACAAAGATTAACAGAGAACTACAACTAAGTGTGAGAGAAGACTCACCAGGTATTTTTGCAGATGCAGTGGAGTCACCCTGTGACTGTCAATGTCCCCAACAAAGTCATCACCACCATGGTGAAGCATTCCATAAGATGCCTGCCTTGAGAAAGACTTAGTCAGGGTGGCTGGAACAGATTTACTGATCTTCGGTCTCTCCACCCATTTACCCACTACCTTCCTAGTCCTATATAATTTCTGTCATTCCACCACTGCATACCTATGTTTTGGTGTCCACTTTTGGATCCTAGAACCTCCAATGAGTCTACTTTAATACTTTATTGGAATCTGCAAGAAGGGCCAAGGATGGTTGCAGTGAAGGGGCAGTGCCATCCTCCGGTCACATGCAGGAGATCTCGCCGCCACCCCAAACCACTATACCGGTGAACAAGACTTCACATTCACAGCAAATCCAGACTGCCAGGTCACGGCGGGATGTCAAACAGGCAGTGTCCGACATGGTGCACCCTCCTACAATCAAGGATGATGTTGATACCAGGCAGCCTGCCAAGTCAGCAAAGAAGCAGCACGGCAAAAAGTAGTCATTATATCAACATACTATCATAGGGTGTGTATAGAATCAATGCAATTGAATCGCTTGGCTATCGGCATAATCGTGAAATTGACTTCCATATTGAAACAGACATATTTACATTAGGCAGGCTATCTAGATGCATATATTATATGAACTAGTGACCTCCGGTGGCCATCCCCTCTGCTGTCTCAACTTCGGTTGCCAGAGACAATAGAACTGAGAGTTGGCGTGCATGGTGCTCAGCCGCATGATGGATGGTGATCAGATCTTTGAAGGTCCGAGTCAACCGATCTCTACACTCAAGGAACGCCAACATTACAGCCTGGTTGCTGTCAAGAATTTCAGCCAGTACAGGATCACGAACATCATCACCGGGCTGAATCAGACTGCCAAGCATCATCTGTGCTAGTTTATACACTAGAATGTGTTAGTAAAGTCAGTGATGAAATGCGAATGTGAACTCACATTCATTCTCCTTGGAGGCATGCCACAATGTCGATCGCCGCCCTCTCAGCCTCACCGACAAGGTTTGTGAAAGTCTGACGCCGCTCTCCTTCATTGGCGGAATTCAGCTTTCACCGTTTGGGGATTGGAAATGGCCCCTCACTGTAGGGCATAGCCTTCAGAGAGTATGCCACAGGCTCTGAGGAAGGGGCAGCCGGTGGTGTAGTGGGGTTGGGAGCAGCAGTGAGGGGGATCGGCGTCCAATTTCCGACCTGAGGAAGAGGGGCCTGGCCTCCAAACTGAAATGCTGAGATGGTGGCTAAGTGAGTGGCAGAGAAGAGTTCAGACTAACCACTTATGTTGATTGGTCAAATCAAATCTGACATGAGGGGCTGGAGCCGGCGTGGAGAAAGAGGATCTTTGCCTCCAGCTAAAATTGAACTGCAGCTAGTGTTCTTCAACTGGCACTGATGTGGTCAGTGGTGATTGTGTTGGAGGTGGAACAGGCTCCTGAACTGTAGCAAAAGTCAAACAGTGTTTCCAACCAACATTCATTGGCGATGGCCTGGCCTGAGGATTGATGTACATTCCAAAGTCAGATTGTTGAGGTGCCGGTGACCCCTACCCCCCACTTGGCAAAGATGGACTGGAACCGAAGTTCAACAGTGATGTGGTTGATTTGGCCAGTGGTGACTCTGGCAGTGGTGGGGCAGGCTGCTTGACATGGATTGCAGCAGAAGTGGAATGGAGTTTCCAGCTGAGGTTCATGGGCAATGACATCGCCAGAGGATGAGTGTTCATTCCAAAGTTGAATTGACTAGCCACTAGTGAGACCTGCCCCACACTAGGCACAGATGCTGTCCAACCGAAGTTGAACATAGGTCTTGTGGGAGACGGCATGGGCTTCAATTCCGCTGCCACTGGGTCTCGCTTTCAGACATTGAACCCAAAGTTCAACTGTCAGGGTGCTTCCGGCATTGCCGGCGACTTGTCTGCCTTCGAAAGGCCAGATGGCTTAAAGCCAAAATTGAACTCCATAGGCTTGTCAACAATAATCTGTCTTTCATTAGAACACTTACTTTGCTGTTGGGGTGCTTCTGGCATTGCCAGCAACTTGTCTGCCTTTGACAGGCCAGATGGCTTAAAGCCAAAATTGAACTCTATGGGTCTGTCAACAATAATTTGTCTTTTATTAGAACACTTACTTTGGGGTGGGTCGCCAGCGTGGGAAGACAGCAGGTGAGATGGGGAATTGCTGTTTGTTTAGACTTTGAAATATATATGACAGTCAGTTGCTTGAGTTATATTGGATCAGAAAGATGGTGAGGATGAGATGAAAGATTGGATAGGACCCCTGATAAGGTCATACTCTCGTAGGATCGGATCTGAAGGACTTTGGCCTCAGCTTGTATGCTGTGCCCTTTTCCTAAGTACTGTCCCCTATTTCAAGCACTAACAATAACACGTCCAAAGGTCCGGACAAGTCTCATAGTTATATCCGGATGACTTCTGGATATCGGAAACATGTGTAAGACTAATCCGGACAAGTCCGAACAGAGTATAGACTACCCGAAGGTAGAGCTGAGGATATAGACTATCGGAATCAATCTGAAGTCTCGGAGGGGGACAAGAGTTAGATAGACTCAAGTCTGGAGGACAGAAGGAGGACAATCTAAGATGATATTCAAACTGAGGTACTACAGGACATATACACAAGTTTATATACTAAGGAAATAACGGAAGGATCAGTAAGCAGAGGTCCGAGGCTATGTACAAAGCATATGCAAAGATTATCAAACACGAGTCAGAAATGAAACATAGGTTCACGGATCAGTAAGCATACTGGTAATAAGTATAACCAAAACATCAGGAAGAGGAAATACCGAATAGGCTGTGTTCAACATTATGTAAACAGGAAATGGATTAAGAAGCTTATCTATATCAGATCGGAAGCGGATCTATGCACTGGACCGCATCGGATCTAAGGGTCAGAAGTCCAGAAGAGAAGTGTGACTATATGTGATATAACAACCTCTTTGGATTTGTTGTGGTTTGCCCACTGCGGGGTTTCAACAATGGATTTTCTCCGTGTGAAACTACACATGTGGTCCAACATTGTGGTTCATGGCACCGCATGGTATGGGTACCGGAGCCAATATTCAATATTGACACAGCGCTTGAATCCAGCCTATAATACTGATGTAAATGTTAATTTTCCCCATCCCTGGCATCTCTTCTTACACTGCAGGCATTTTCCCATGTTTCTCCACCAAACATTCAAAAAACATTGATTGAGAAGATAGAAATTTCCCCTCATTTTTCTTGTCAAAATATTGAAAAAAAGTAATTCATGTTTCAATGATGCTCTGTGTGTGGGCCATGATGCAGAAATTGGTCATGTTCCTTCAAGGATAATGCTGTATTTTCCATCCATTATCCTTGAAATAATAGCTTAAAATAATGTTGATTTTCTTCCCTGTGTTTTTCAAATATACACAGAACATTTGAAAACATAGTATATTTGAAGAACATAGAGAAGAAAGTTAACGTTATTTGAAGCTGTTATTTCAAACACAATAGGTGGAAAATACTTGAAGGAACATGACCAATTTTTGCATCATATCTCACACACAGAACATCATTGAAACATGAATTACTTTTTTTAAATGTTTTGACAGGAAAAATGAGGGGAAATTTCTATCTTCTCAATCAATGTTTTTTGAATGTTTGGTGGAGGAACATGGGCAAATGCCTGCAGTGTTACACCCATTCCCTGCTCAATATGCCACCTGTGGATATTTCCAACAGGGCTCTTAGTGATGCTACTGCTGAGATTCTGCAAATTCTCACTAGAGCCATCAATTGCACAAAAGGACACACTGGCCATCTAGAAATGGCCATGGAGATGGCAAAAATCATGGTTAGCAAGTACTCATAGGCCATTCTTCCTGTCCTAAAGTAGAATAGATGGCGGCATTTCAAGCCCATGGAGAGTCAGCAACAATGATCCCGCCGGTGATACTCTCAGCGGCGATGGAGTTGTCAGAGCATGTGGATCTAGTGGGCAAGAGATCATTTCTCACTCTGCCAATCTGGAGAAACATCCTACTGAGCAACTCTCATATCCAGCAACATCTGCTTTGTAGCAAGGCCCACACATTTGAAGAAGCCTTGATGAAGGGACTGGCATCCCAGCCCCCGATGCAACCCAAAATAACAGTGATGACTAACTCGCTGATGCTCCCAGCTGCTCATTCAACATTAATGCCTATCGTGAAGAAGACACTGATAGACATGACTATTGACAGTGATGAAGTTGAAATTGTGAAGGAAATAGCGCAAACTGACACCAGCCCCCACAAGAAGCAGACATTCATTGACACTGCTGACACCCAAGTGTCCGGTTTCCAACATCAAGGCAAGATTGAAATGCCGGTAAAGGTAAAGGCCCACATCGCAGTCGATATCCCGCTGAGAGACAGTAGGCAGAAGCCAATGCTGAAAAGCAAGCAAATGGAGATGGCCAGAGCATCTGAGTTGGATGAGGTCGTAGTTGTGGATGTGTAAGGCAAGGGCAAGGAAGTTGTGCTGCCACCAGATAATCACTGCTGTGGCCACAAGCGGTTCTTACAGAAAAAATCCAGGCCGCCAATGAAGCGGACTGTATTGCCTAACCACCTGCCGGCTACAGGTGATGACAGTGGTCAATTAAAACCATGGTTTCAAGACTCTTCTTCATTGCAAGTAGGAACCTTCATCATTCTGGATGTCATGTTGGCCTCACGTTTCTTTTACAGCAAAATGCCGGTACAACAACTCAGAAACATGGCCATCGGCAAGCAATGTTGATGGAGGAAGATGAAGGAAACATCCTGGAGGATGTCGGCGACATTAGCACTGGGCAAGAGGAGGATATCGGCGTGGTAAGAGTGTAATCCTTTATTTTGAATCCTTTTGAACTTGGTGTAGCGAAAAGCGGGGCCACAATTGAACCCACCTTGTGCTGCCTGTCAGGAAAGGTCAGTGAGCAACATTTTGCTTGACTGGCAAAGTTGTAACAATGGAACAGTTTAACAATTTGTTGGCAAGGATATGGGGTGGGCACAGTGCTCAGAGCTTGCGCCAGGTGTTCCAGGAAGAAAATCAAATGTTCTAGGTCGGAGCACCCAGTCAATATTACAGTTCAGTCAGATCACACTCCAGATTATGATGAAGGTATTTGCATTCGTCATTGACTATTTCATGAGCTAAGAGTATTAGATATGCTCATATGTACATGATGATGGTGAGGGCGCTGGGTGTGCTGCATTACCAATGCATACTGGTCCTGCCATTGTCAATATGTCCCCTGTTCCATTCACTCACCTTGAAGCTCAATCACATGGCGGCAGCCGCTGAGGACATGCTGATTGATTCTTTGGGTGACACAGTGGCAAGGGATCTGGGAGCCCTGACACTGAAGGCAAACAGAGACTCGGTGTCACTCATCGCTGCCAATAAAGTCCTACAGGACACCATCATCGACCTTCAAAACCAGGTAGCTGAGCTCTGTGCCCATAATGCAATCACCGCCACACTCATTGAAGCCATCAACATCTGCCTTACTGCCCAGGGTGTTGCACTTTGAACAATGGAGACTATGCGTGCCAAGATTGCCATATTGCAGGAGGAAGTCAAGGCCTTGCATGCAGAAAGTCAGCATCATGAGGCCCAGCTCTGGAGTGCCGAAGCAAAGGTGGCTTCGAATGGAACAAGCACTGCCATCCTCAGTGATGCTTATGAATCGCTTCAGCAACATGTTGTCTCCAATGTGTCCCTTCCGCATTTCAATCATGCCATGTTCTTTCCTCCCATCAGCCATGGTACTCCCTACACACAAAGCATGAGCTCCAGACAGGCACAGGCGATGGAACAGCTTTACTTTAATTTTATACCAGGGCTGTCTACAGCTCCAGGCCTCCCTGGTACCAGTTTCACTGGCAGTTTTGGAATTCAGGGCCTGGCAGTCACCCTCACTGCGACATCATGTGCTGCTGCATCCCATTCTGGTGGTGGAGTCACCCACATCATTGCAGGTCCTTCCACTGCTGCCAGCCAATCCACCAATAATGAAGTCGCAGGACCTTCAGGTTCTCACCCTAGAGGTGCCTTTGAGGAATCGGCATCGGGGATCGGTTGCAACTAGACAAGTTGTTGTCAACATGCTTTGAACATGTGCACTTTTAGATAATTGGAATTTGTGTTTGCCATTATGTGGTGACTATTTATTAAGTCAGATGATCTATCACATGCCAATTATCTTCACCGGTGCTTTACATGCCTATAATGTATATCATCTTTGTCTCAAAGTAGACTCCCAAGTGTCCATGCCTTTCATCACCGGAGACCTGCACTGGTGTTTTTATGTCATGATGTTATGACCCATCACTGATGCTTGATAAGTTTTATGTATAAAAGTGTTTACCAGTTAGTCTGTATCATGTTTCTGTCCCCCACATAATGAATCCCCTGCCTGCTGAGTGGGCATTGGCTACAACTTACATTGCGAGCAACTATGTCTGCTGCCAGTTCTGTGCCATCGTTGGAGTGACACCGAGGGTCCTTCCACCCCCGGAGCTTGATGTTGTCTTGCTCTCATTTTGCAAGGATCCTCGCCGAAGCATATCACAATCCTGGTAATGACCCTGTTATTTTTCCAGCATCATTGTTGACTTTCATTGACATTAGTCACCAGAAGAGGAATTGGTAGTGGGGTTATATGATGGTATGAGATAAACTCAAGTAGTCCTCAGTGAGTGAGATATACATCGGCCAAAGGAGATTGCTACTGAGAAGGTTCCTCTAAGTGTATAAATGAAGAGAAACACTAGACCAGGCACTTGGTCAAGCCTGGTAAGGCACACGACGATGAGTGAAGTGCTAGTGAGTGAAAGTGACATAAAGCACTGATGAGCGATGATGGCCGATGATAAGCGACAATGCGCAACTTATAACGGGAGCATGCGCTAAGTGGAAGCGGTGTGCGCGTGCAGGTGGTGGAATGCAGTGACTCTTAAGGAGTCAGAAAACTAATTGGCAGAGTTTCTCTATTAATGTACGGTGGCAGGCGCTCGTATTGTACTTAAATACTTAAAGATGTGAGAGGGAACTTAGACTTAGAGTCCAATGATGTGTGGGCAGAAAGATACTCATTATACAGTTTAGGTGCGTGTATATATACTAAGTAATGATAAGTGCTGTCAAGTGCTAAAGCAAACCAAGAAGTGAAGCAGATACAAGATAATATGTAATGTAAGGGTCCATGATGGAAAACATACGAAATATGGTCATAAGCACTGGAGATATGTCAGAATAAATAAACATAGAATCAGAATACGCACCGACAAACCAAACAGACATGAAATGGATGGACGGAGGATGGGTGATGGAACCGAAGATGCGTGCGCTGATGCGCAACCGAAGTGCTCATGTGCGTGGAGCCCCTTCAGTAACTTTTTCCGATATATAAAGCCACCAGAAGTTGATAATTCGCCCAATAAGACGGGTCACCTGAGGTGGGCCCAAATAAAGGTGTACCAATGGAGAGGGGTAGGCCCAAGATATGGTCTAGTGGTCCATAATTTAGGAGTGGGCCCAGTATGTGATATAAGTATTGTGCTACCGATATGGATGATTAGGCCCATACAATGGTACATATACCCATACTGATGGCAGGGCCGATATGAGTAAGTGAGACATAGGGATGGGCCCAGGTGCCTGTGCTACCGAGATGGATGGATAGGCCAATCCAATAGTACTACCTATATTAATTAATAGTAGGGTCGATATGAGTAAGCAATATATAGGGATGGGCCCACACAGCCATACAACCTATATTAATTAATAGTAGGGCCAATATGACAAGCCGAGATATAGGGATGGGCCAACTACTGGTGCTGTGATGACCCAAACTGGAAGTGTGTTGGATAGTTCAGATAACATCACTGAATAGTCCCAGATCCAGTAGAATGACCTCCAGAAAAAGTGTGCCCTCAATATGTGTCAATATTCATCTACCCCCCACATTTTATGATCAAAATGTAAAACCTTGTACCGAGGGTGATGACCCAAACCGGAAATGTGTTGAATAGTCCAGATAACATCAATGAATAGTCCCGGGTCCAGTAGAATGACCTCCAGAATGTGTTTCCTTTCAATATGTGCTGATATTCATCCACCGCCCTATTGTATGACCAAAATGTAAAACCTGTACCAAGGGTGATCACCCGAACCTGAAGTGTGTTGAATAGTTCACTGAATAGTCACAGGTCCGGTAGAATGACCTTGGGAACAAGTATCCTTTCAATATGTGCTCATATTCATCTACCGCCCTATTGTAGGACCGAAATGTAAAATCTTGTACCGAGGCTGATGACCCAAACCAAAAGTGTGTTGAATAGTTCGGATAACATTCATAAATCATCCAAGGTCTAGTAGAATCACCTCTGGGAGCATGTTTCTATAGCTTATATGATAAGACACAATGTAAGGAGACACACCAACAACAACATATTGATTCGAACTAGTATTGGACATTATCACAGCATGGATAATTAATGATGGCACTGTGGAGATTTGAACAGTAGAGCAGTCTCCTGGCCAAAATCCTGCACTGTCTCGCAACAGGGACCAAGTTACCACTAGACTATCTAGCTGGGATTGAGGGCAGAGGTCATAAGTATATGTCACCTGAATTATGTAATAATTGCAACCAACAAACTTATGGCACAATTAGATGTCTAGGCAAAGGCAGTAGTTCACTAAGACTGCAACTTTGATCACACATAGGTTGATTTAGATATCTAGCATCACACATTAAATCTACATAGTTAAGGATTGTTGTAGGGTGGTAAATGAATCTTGGCACATACTGAAAGGTAGCTTTTTCCAGAAGTTATTCTACTGGACCTGGTATGATCAATTGATGTTATCCAATGTGATTATTCAACACACTTCCAGCTCAGGTCATCATGCCCAGTACAAGGGCCCACATTTTGGTAATACTATGGGGCAGTAAATGAATCCTGGCACTTACATATTGAAAGGAAACATTTTCCGGAGGTCATTCTGCTGAACCTGGTGTGATACATTGATGTTATCCAAACTATTCAACACACTTCCAGTTCAGATCACCCCTCTTGGTACAAGGTGTGATGTTTCGGTTATAAAGTAAGGTGGTAGATGAATATTGGTACATATTGAAAGGACACTTTATCCGAAGGTCATTGTACCGGACCTGGGACAATTTATTGATGTGATGTGAATTATTCATCACCCTTCTGGAGGCAGTCTCTTTCGGACGAACATCTCACTCGCACTTTTGAGTCTTAAGGTAACACCTTTTGTATAGCCCACCAGGAATCAACTTTTTACATCGCGCAACCCTGTCACACTATGATTATCTCGTATCCACTCATTTCTGCATTAATTACGCATCTATTGACACATTTCACAGTGTATATTCTTTTGACCAAGTCAAGCACTCGCTAGTGTACAAACCAGTCGCAAAGAAAGTCTGCACCATATCTACAGCTATGCCTCCAGAATTCCAGATTATGAGAAGATTACCTGACAATCCATTGGCCAGCATGGGTGGCAAATGTAGCTATATGCTTGTGGTCTATGAAGAGATATACTTCTGTCAAGTGCATAGATTTGTAGTTGTAGAAATGCCTGCCGGTGGCAAATGTAGTTACAGGGGTGTAAATTGCATGAAACTGTCTGGGAGGTTGTATCCTTGAAAATATAAGTAAAACTAAAGATGATATGATAATAAACTCACAACATATCACCGGGCAAGAGTGTAACAATCTCTCTATGCTAAGTTTCCTGCATATTTTTGTGGTTTCAGTAGAGATTCATTAGTTCTAGGGCTTTACTGGAGAGGTTTGTTTGTGTGGTGGTGTCTTCCTCAACAAGTCTCCATAGGCCCCATTTTTTCTTTGCCAGTCTCGATTTGAATAAAAGTGGTGCCACCATCTGCATTGTGGTGGGGGTTTGTCCAGTACACGAGACCATGTAGCAAAGACCAAGAATGTATGAGGAAGTTGTCTGGGTGGACCATATCGCTGTTACGACTTGGATAGGTTGAGCCTTCCGATGCCGAATGGCAGATCTCTAAGTGATCTCGCAAAGATGGAAGGATAGTGTTCTAGCCTTGGATGAAGCCTAAGGGATCCTCCAACAAGCTTGGTAAGCACAGTGGCTCATCAAGCTGTAGGGCTAACAGATATATGGCTAAGATAGCATCGGCTTGCCTTAGAAGTATGGTCAAGACAGAGGGACTAAGGTCACTCTGAAAGGATGAACAAGTACTGGGATTGTACTAGTTTCTAGGAAATACCAAGTAGATCAAAGTAAGGAATATAATGATATCTGTCTAAGTTATATAGCTGTATGCTATAAGGTTTGGTAGGAGCCTGTATTGTGAATCTATCTGAGTCAGAGATAAGATGAGGTGAGGCAAGCCTTGCTTGTCTGATAAGATGCATGAGGTGCCTCTTCTATGTCAAGATACATACATGAGGTGTTCCAGCCTAAAGGTCCATCAACACATGTAAAGGCATGCATTGGTCTAGTTCTACATGAGGCATACAGCCATCATGATGAGATCAGGAGGCCTTCCAGGCCATAGTGAAGTCATAGTGGTTCCAAAATGCTATCAGTCAGGACCTAGGCTAGGTCTGGCAATATTATTGTAACAATCCCCAATGAGGCAATCAATCATGGTTTGATTTCAACTGTTGATAATACTACTATCGAGAGTACTAGAAAACTTAGTGGTGTTACAGTGTGTTAGTTATATGGTACGGACCTTAAACATGATGGAAGACTGCCTTGTTTATATGCAAAGTTGAGTATACACTGAATCTTGTTGGAATCATATATATTGTTTATGAATTCTTTGAAAGTAGCATATCGGTGTGGATATGTGAAATTCTTTGTGCATTGTTCAGTGTCTGGTTAAGTTGTGTTAGAGGAGTGATGAATGGGTTGAATTTTGATAAACTGGCCTACTGATTTGTCAAATTACAATGGCTTTGTTTATGTGAAGAGCTGCGGTTATTTCTTCACATAACTGCCAGCTTGTGTTTGTCAATCACTAAACTGCAAGTAGATACTATTTTTTGATGTGTTGGGTCATGA